TTACCTCTTGTGCCAAGGTATTAATATCCTTTTCAATTCTTTTTTCCCCCATTTCTCTCATTTCTTTTCCAATTTTTCCCCTAGTGCTCTCATTTTATTTACAAAAATATTTTAATTTTATTTAAACTCTTGCCTCACCTCTGAGTAATTTTAGTTGAATTTATTCCCAAGTGTGTTTTTCATTGAGGCTTTTGTTATAGATATTTTAGAGTCATTCTTTTCTTCTGGGTTTGTATTTCAAGTGTTTCCTTCACCAGAATAGCTTTTTATGGCAGTACTCTTGTTTGGCTTGCCCATTCCATATGTCTTCCCAGTTTTATCTGAATGCATTTCATTATTTCTTAGAGCACAATAGTATTTCACCAAACTTATGAACATAATTTGTTCAGTCACCCTCTAACTGATGGGCAGCTCCTTAGTGTCTGGTTCTCTACCACTATAAAAAGAATTGCTATAAATATTTTCATACATATAGGATGTTTCCCTTTTTCTTTGTTTTCTTTGGAGTATAGGCCTAGTAGTGTTATTGTTGGGTCAAAGGATATCTACATGTTAGAAACTTTTTGAGCATAATTCCAAATTACTTTCCAAAATTACTGGACCAATTCATAGCTCAACTAACGGTGCATTAATGTGCTTGTTTTCCTGAAGCCCCTCTAATATTTTAAATTTGCCTTTTTTGAAAACTCTGCCAATTTGACAGGTGTGAGTTGGAACTTCTAAGTTGCTTTAATTATCATTTCCCTAATTTGGAACTTTTTTTTCCCATTTAGTTATGGACAGCTTGGATTTCTTCCCCTGAGAACTGCCTATTCATATCATTTGAACTTTTATCAGTGAGGAATAGCTTTTAAAAAATTACCCCTCAGTACTTTATTAGGGCACTATCCCTGCTCATTTCACTTTCCTCCCTTTCCAATCTCAACCTTATAGTTGACCAATTCAATTCTATACTGTCCCGTACTCTTGAATTCCTTCCCTCCATGTACTAACACTCCTTATCCTTTGCCAAACCTCAGTCCTGGATTACTATTGCTCTCAATCATCTCTGCCCCTACTCAACTTGCTGCTCAATGGAGACAGAGTAAGTCACATACCCGTGTTGATTATGTACCTTACAAACTCTTTTAACCAACTTCAACTGAGCCCACATTGCAGCGACAGCAATTTATTCCTCTCTAAGTGATTCTCCATCTCATTCTCCATAGAACCTATCCCAAACATTCTTTTCTCTTCTAACCCTCTGTCATCCCCCTTCTCCCTCCCACCTCTCAGTGGAGGACCTTGCCTCTTTACTTCATAAACTGAGGCCACTTGATGGAAGTTTCCTCTTTTTACCTTCTCTTAATCTCAAGACACTGTGATATCACCCCCACTTTCTTTTCCTTTCCTCGCAGTCTCTGACAACAAGGCAGGCCTTCTTCTTGTCAAGACCAACCTCTCTTGATCTCATCCTTCCCTGTCCTCTCCAGCAGACTGCAACCTCAATCATCCTCCCTTTCTGATATTCCCCAATCTTCAACCTCTCCCTATCTACTGGGATAGTTCTGTTCTACTACCTTCAAATATATTTGCTTCCTTCATCTTTAAAAAAACAAACAAACTTTGCAATACCATATCTCTCACTCAAGCTATCATACTATGACTCCTTTCAGCCAAACTTCTAGTAAAAGCTGTATGTACTTCTCGCCTCCACTCCCTCTCCTCTTATGTACTCCTCAACCTTTTGCAGTCTGGCTTCTGGCTTCAATTGAAACAGCTCTCTCCAAACTTGCCAACTTTCTCTTAATTGCCAAATCTTATGACCTTTTTTTCCCCCCAATCCTTACGCTTCTTGACCCATCTGCTGCATTTGACACTGTTGACTACTCCTCCCTCCTGGCTGCTCTTTCTTCTCTTTTCATGACACTTTTCTCCTCCTACCTATCTAAAAGTCTCCTTTGCTGGTTTATGATCCATACCGTCCTCTCTATATACTCTCTTGGTGACTTCATCAATGCCCATAAATTTAATCATCAAATTTGGAAAACTCAACAGTGGCCATGGGATCAGTTTACATTCCAGTCCTGAAGAAGGGCAATGTCCAGGAATGTTCAAATTACTGAACAACTGCACTCATTTCACATGCCAGCAAGGTTATGCTTAATATTCTGCAAGCTAGGCTTCAGCAATAGGTAAAACAAGAATTACCAGAAGAGCAGGCTGGTTTTTAAAGAGGCAGAGGAACTAGAGACCAAACTGTCAACATTCGATGGATTATGGAGAAAGCAAGGGAGTTCCAGAAAAACATTCACTTCTGCTTCACTGACCACCCTAAAGCCTTTGACTGCATGGATCCCCCAAAAATGTGGCAAGTCTACAAAGACATGAGAGTACCAGATCATCTTATTTGTCTCCTGAGGAACCTGTATGAAGGCCAAGAAGCAGCAGTTAGAACCAAACATGGAACAATTGATTGGTTTAAAATTGAAATAGGAGTATGACAAGGCTGTATATTGTCACTATTTATTTAACTTATATGTGGAATTATCATGAGAAATGACAGGCTGGATGAATCAAAAGCTGGAATTAAGGTTGCCAGGAGAAATATCAACAATTTCAGATTTGCAGATGAGACCACTCTGATGGCAGAAAGTGAAGAGGAATTAAGAAAAGTGACGAGTGTACAAGCTTGCTTGAAGTTTAACATCAAAAAGACTAAGATCTTGGCAACTGGTCCCAAGACTTTCTGGTAAATAGAGGGATAAGAAACAGGAGGTGTGTCAGATTTTATATTCTTGGCCTCAAAGATCACTGCAGACTATGACTGCAGCCATGAAATTAAAAGATGCTTGCTCCTTGGAGAGAAAGCTATGGCTAGGCTGGATAACATACTGAAAAGCAGACACATCACCTCACTGATGAAGGTCCATATAGTCCAAGCTCTGGTTTTTCCGGTAGCAATGTGTGGTCATGAGAATTGGACTATAAGGAAAGCTGAGTGCTACAGAATCAATGCTTTCAAATTTTGGTGCTGGAGAAGACTTTGGAGAATCCGTTGGAAAGCAAGGAGGTCAAATCAGTTAATACTTAAAGGAATTAATTCAGACTATTCACTGGGATGTCAAATACTGAAGATGAAGTTTAAATACTTTGGCTGTATAATGAGAAGCTGGGACTCATTGGGAGTTGGGAAAGACAGATGTTGGGAAAGATAAAAGGAAACAGGAAAAGGGGATGACAGAGGATGAAATGAACAGATAGCAAACACGAACCTGGATAGACTTTGAGAGATAGTGGAGAATAAAAGGAGTTGGTGTGCTATGGTGCACGGGGTCTTGAAGAGTCAGACACAACTGAACAGTTGAACAACAACAACAACAAATGCAGATGACTCCTGGATCTATATATCTAGCATTAGTATCTCTTCTGAACTTCAGTCCCACATCACAAATTGCCTATTCAACATTTAAAACTGGATTTCTAGAGTCATGTCAAACTCAATGAGAGGCTACATGGTATAAGTGACCGAGTGCTAAGCCCAGAGTCAGGAAGACTGATTAAAATCTTACCTATGACATTTACTAGCTGTACAATCCTGGCAAATCATTTAATGTCAATTTTCTTAAATTTCCTCATCTGCACAATGAGCATAATTAAAGCAACACTTCTCCCTTCAAGGGTTTGATCAACTAAGATAACTTACATAGAGCATTTAAAAATCTTAAAGCACTATGTAAATATTAGCTATTGTCATGATAAAATAAAATTTATTATTTTCAACTTCAAACCCACCACTACTCCAAATTTCCTATTTCTGTCAAAGGTACCACCATTCCTCCAGTCTACTTAGTTCAGAACTTCTGTGTTATCCTGGCCTCCTTACTCTCTCCCTCACACTACATATCCAAGTGGTTGCCAAATCTTGCATTTTCACTTGCAGATAATTTTTCTATTCAACTCCTTCTCTTTATTCACTTGACTACTCACCATAGTTCGGGCCCTCATTACCTCTTGTCTAAATTACTGCAACAGATTCTTAATTGGTCTTTCTGTTTCAACTTTCTCCTACTCTATTCATCTACAGAGCCACCAAAGTGATTTTCCTTAAGTACAGATCTATGTCACTCCCATACTCAGTAGTTCCTATTGCTTCTAGGATAAGATACAATTGCTCTGTTTAGCTTTTATAGCAGAACACAAACTGGTCTCAACATATTTTTCTAGCTTTTTTGACACCCTCCTATTTAATAAGCTTTAGTGGCTCTCTATTACTTCCAGGATCAAGTACGAAATCCTCTGGTTGGCTTTTAAAACCCTTCAAAACCTAGTCCCTTCCAACATTTCCAGTCTTTTTCCTAGACGTATACTCTATAATCCAGTGACACTGGCCTCCTTTCCTTTCTGTTGTTCCCACACAGCACAACAACAACATCAACAGCAACAACCATCTCTGAATGAGAATTTTCACACGCTGTTCTCTCCACGTCTGGAACTTTCTCTCTCCTCATCTGTGCCTCCTGGCTTTCCTGGTTTCTTTCAATTCTCAGTTAAAATCCAACCTTCTGCAATAATACCTGCCCAGTCTTCAAAATTAATGCCTTCCCTCTGAGACCGCCTTAATTTATCCGGCCTATAGCTTATTTGTACATAGTTGTTTTCACGTTGTCTCTCTCACTAGCAAATGACTCCCTTTGAGATTTGCCTTTCTTTACATCTCGGATGCACAGCACTGTGTTGGGCACTTAATTGTCAGGCTTGCTGACTTCTTCAGTATGCACTGGTCTTTCACTTCCTTACAAAAGACCCACCCATCTTCTCTCTCTATGCCTTTGCACAGCAGTGATCAACCCCTGAGCCTGGAAGGCCCTTCATCTAGACTGTGAGCTCCTTGAAAGCAGGTACTGATTTTTACCTTTGTATCTCCAGTGCTTAGCACAGTGCCTGGCACTTAGTAAGCGCTTAATAAATAAAAGCCAGCTGACTGCCTGCCTCCTAGCTAGCATCTCTGTCAAGCCAAGATGCCGCCGAGCATCACTTCTCATTTGAAGCCTTTCTTGATCACCCTAGCTGCTGGTGTCCTCCCTTCCAAACTACCTTGTATTCCTCTACTTTGTATTTTTTTCTTTCTATTTGTCCTCCATATAGTTATTTGTGTACTCATTGTTTCTCCAGTTAGAATGAGTCAGGGTTGCTTCATTCTTTAGATTTGCAATTTCGGAGCTTAGCCCTGAGCCTGGTACATTACAGGCACTTAATAAATGCTAGTGGATTGAATGTTTTGCCTCCAGGAAATGTTAACTTCCCTCCTCGCGTCCCCTCCGCCCTTTGCTCCTTTTCCAGCAGCTCCCGAAACCTGCGGCTCGCACCCGCATCGCTGCTGCTGGCCGGCCCGGCCCTTCCCTTGGGGTCAGCGCACCAGCCCCGGGGGACGCGGCACACGGGCAGCTGCAAGCCCAGGATGGGGGAGCATCCCGCGGAGGGACGCGGTAAGTGCTGGAGGCTTCCAGAAGCCTAGGTGGTAGGCGGGGTGGCGAAGGCGGCGGGAAGAAGGAGACAGGGTGTCCTGCCTCTGTCGCCGCCCCAGGAGCCCAGCCTGGCCTCGGCTGCTGCTTCCTGAGCCCAGTGAGGAGCCGTCAGGGACCACGTCCGAGGCTGGGGGCGGGGAGCGACTGGGCCGGGGGCCGGGGGCGGCTGCTTCGGCGGAGTGCCGCGGCCCCTTTAAGGCGGGGCGGAGCCTGCCCGGCCGCGCATGGAAGAATTCCTGTGCGCAGCTGCAGGAGCCTTTAAGCCCGGACTCCCGGGGCTGTAACTTGCCTTTGCTGCTGGGAGCGAGAGAGCCGACGTTCGTCCTTGTCTTTCCCCTTCCCCGCCCCGGGAACCCCGGCTCGCGTCGCCGCGCCCCTCCGGCTCCCGGCCGTCCTCCCTCCCACCGTCGCGACAGCGGAGCCCGTGCCCGCGAGCTCCGGCATGCCTCGATACGAGCTGGCTTTGATCCTAAAAGCCATGCAGCGGGTAAGTGACCCGGCCCAGCCCCGCTCCTTCCCCGCTTCCCGCGCCCCCTCCCTGGCCTCTGCATCCCCGCTGTCTCCTCTGCAGCTTTGGCATTGTCACGCTCCGCTCCCCTCTCCCCACGAGCCGGCGCGGGAGAGGGGCTGCACTGCTTCCGACTGCCCTGGGGCTTCTGGGGCGGGGTCTGGGGGGTGCCCGGGGAGGACGCTGCCGGGTTCATTCATTGCTTCCCGCTCGTCCTTTTTTACACACGCACTCACACGCGCGCGCGCGCACATGCTGCCCGCTCCTGGCAGGTCCAGGGCGCGTGTGCGCGTCTGCGAGCGCCTGGAGACGGGCTCGTGCGTGTGTTTCTCTGAGTAAATGAGTGGAGGCGTGTGGGGGCGTGGGCAGCTCGGCGAGCTAGCTGGTGCGTGTGCACGGGATGGCCTTAGTAAGTATTTCCATAGCGCTTTTAGGTTTGGAAACCGCTTTGCACACTGTGCCTCCTTCGAATCTCATCACCACCCCGGGAGGTAGGCGCTATTGTTAACCTCAATTTACAGATAAGGAAACTGAGGCTCTGAGAGGTAACAGGACTCTGGTCTGAGGGCTAGTACGTGTTTGAGGCTGGATTTGAACCGAAGTCTTAATGACTCCAGGTCCAGCGCTCGATCCACTGCGCCACCTAACATACACCACCTATGTGTATCCGTGTGTGAGAGCTTGGTCGTGTGTTTCTATAAAAGTGTAGACGTGTGCCCCCGTGTGTATGTATTCTCATGTGTACTATACGGTGTATTCCTGCCTATCTGCCTGTGATCGTGTGTGCATGTGGAGTGGGTTACGTTCATTTCTCGAAAAGGGGGTGTTTCCGCTCACTCCCGGACTGCCAACTCTGCATCATCTGTATGCACAGGTATGCCCCTTTTGGATAAATGTGGAACTTAAACCATAATCTTCTTGCCAGAGGAGAGAGAGAGGAGGAAAAAAAAAGTCAAACGCTGAATGTCTTCTGCCCATCCTCGAGTTGGGGAAACCTTGCAATGTTGTTACAAAACAAATAAAACCCAACTTTCTAATTCCATGCCTGTGGTGTACTTACTGCTAATTACCTTATTCTGGGTTCTCTAAGTAAAATGCTCTTCTAATTTTTACTCACCTTTTTATATGCCTCAACTATCCTCAGTTCTGTTTTTGATTGAAGAGCGTCTGTTTTGAAACTTCGGCACAATTCAATAAAATTGTCTTTGAATCCTCATGTGTAGTACTCTTTTGACTTGTTGCTATGTCTCTGACTTGAATGAATATTCAAAGAATCAAACTTCAAGGGAGGGGGAAAAACTCCACTAAACCCTTAATCAAATTCTTGATTAAAAAAAATTTAGTAAGCCTAAGAGTTTCTATGTATCTTCTATGTATATTGCTTCTATGTATGTAGCTTCTATGTATATAGCTGATGTCTTAATGTTTATTTTATTCATCCAAAGATTGTTCTTTCTGCTTCTCTTTGAGAAAATTTTTCCTGTGACAAAAAGAGAAAAACAGAGCCAGAGCGCAGAGGAGTCAGAAAGAAAGGCAGAGAGAGGGGAAAATAGAGAGAGAGAGAGAAGCAGACCAAAAGATAGGTAGAGAGACAGAGACTGTCTCAAGGGAGCTTTTGATGGCGTGGTACATGATAATACAAAGTTAACTTGTTTTGTGCTTTATCAGCCCTAGTGAAGCTGTTTGAGTTTATTATGCTATGGAGACAGCTTGTTATCCCAGCGCCATTGTGTCTGATATCTTAGAAATTTGGGCTTTTCCCAGGAACTCCTCTTGGTACTTAAAAAAAAAAAAGAAAAAGAAATGCTGTATATGGTATTATGGTTTTTAGTATTTACAGACAGACGTTTTCATATCATAGCTATATATAAAACTTTGTTAACTTTAGAACATATAACAAGCAGTGATTGAACATCTTAAGCTTTTGAATATGGCATATAATTGCTGAACTAATGCTAATATTTACAAGGTCTAAAGAATTTAGTAAATGCCATGGAAAAGGGAGAAAGCATATGTGTAATTTGCTAACTTTCCTAGTTAGCAAATTACTGGATACTATAAATTTTGAGTTCTGGCCTGAGAGTCTTTGACCAGGCATAACATTGTGCTCCTCTGACCTTTTCTTTGAACTTGAGAAAATAAATCAAGAATTTAAAGTTTGTGAGGCCCCCAAATAGTACTCCATATTTTCCCAATTCACATAAACATGAAATTTAATTGGGGACAGAAAAAGGAAGGGGGTGGTAGGTGGGAAAGCAAGAACTGGAGATATACCCTTGGTGGGAATAAGTAGAGTATTACTGTGCCCTTCTCAAGCAATCCCTATATTATAGAAGGTATTAAAAAATTGGTTTATTGGCTTTTGGCACCTTCCTGCCTTCCTACTTTTTTCATATTAATCTGTTTATTTTTATGTAGGTAAATGGAAGGTGGGCAAGAAAATCTTGTTAATCAGTATTGGCACAGCCTGTGTATATTTGAATTTTGTCTAGAAGCCAAGAGCTAAGTTAACTCACAGTCTCTTTATCATTACCAGTGTGTCTGCAGGCACATTAGTTAAGTTTTCCTTTGTCTCAGCTAGTTGTCAAGAGATAGGTGGGGGGCTACCTAAGTTTAGGGCTATGAATGTGGGCACCACCTGGCATCAAATAATGTTGACTTAATCTCTCTTGTGTAGTTAATAACAGTGATGGGAGTGGGGTATGTTTGGAGGAAGGAAAGTCATATGGAAATTCTTGTTGAGTTTTGTTTTCATGTTCCTTGGTCACCAGGGTTTGTAGAGGGCACATTGCAACAATGATGTTATGGTTGAAAAGACTGAAGAAATTATCTTGGATTTAAAGTGCATTAAGAGTAAAAGGTATACAGCTCATACTTTTTTTCTCCTGCCTTTTGAAATGTCTGTGTAGTGAACATGCAAGGTTTTTCTGGTTTCAGAAAATTTATTGTATTTAAGTTATTTAGAAAACTGTATTTGCAGTTCGTAGGCTCAGTTTGAACAAATGTACTTAGAGGTTATATTTTATAGAGTGTATATATAGGATCCCGTGTGTAAACTATTTCTTTTACAGAACCCAGATTAATAGGATTATGAATTTAGAGCTGTAAGGGACTTTAGATATCATTCCTAAGGGTTCCTCACCTCCATTTTACAGATGAGGAAACAGACCTAGCAAGAAATAATCTACTTATGGTCACAAATGTAAGTAGCAAAGTTGGAATTTGAACCCATGCTTGCCAACTCTTTATCTGGGGGAAAAAAGTTTAATTGACCAACAGATAATGTTGCTACAATGTGTAAACACATGGAGACTGCTTAAAAATAATAAAAAGTAATTTGTGGCTTAAGGGATAATTGCATCATTAGTGCCTTTAGATTGGATTGGATATCTAGAGGTGTTTCTTTCCCATCTGTTTCATGCCAGTTGTAATCTGTAGGGCAGTGGGTGATTCTCAGTCTTCTTGGAATGATGACATCCATTGTTTGGTTTCCTTTTACCCTCACCACTCCCTTCCTCCTCCCAGTACTAGTGACATAAGTCCTTCTTAAATGTGAAATGTTCAAAACATAATACTTTGTTTTTCATCACCTCTGAGGTAACCGAAAACTTTTAGGATGTGGCCAAGTTATTTTTGGGGGAATCCCTGCTATATATTTCAGGATATATTTAGTACATATTTGAAACAGTGATTTAATGTTAGTGAATTCCTGTTTGAACCAGGGAAAACTTTAATGAGATGGAATGGAATGGAAAAACCAGTCTTTAATAGGTGCCAGGCACTTGTGGAATAGTAGTCCTCAGCAAAAATAAACAAATAAATGAAAAATTTGCAAGTAAAATTTAGTCTGAACTTAGGTGTGCATGTTTTTAGTACAGGGGCCTTTAACTCCTTCAGGTTCTTCTCTGGCTAAAAATGCCTTAACTGTATTTTTAATTCTCAGTTGTTAAGCATTGCATAACAGAGTAGTGGAAGTAATACCATCATTTCTTCAGATGTAATTGCTTAAAATAATGAATTGTAGTGGACATTTATGCAGGTTAGCAACCTTGGGGTCATCTGCTCCTCACTCAGTCCAAATATCCAGTTCATTGCCAAATCTTGTCATATCTGCCTTCACAACATCTGTGGTGTGTCCACCTTCTACTCACAGAGCCATCACCCTTGAACTGACCGTTATCACTGGTCACCTACACTGTTACAGGAGCCTTCCAACTGGTCTTCCTTACTCAAGTTTCCCCACTGCAATCCATCCTCCCTTCTACCAAGATAAGCTTTTTAAAATATGTCTGGCAATATCATTTCTTCGCTCATTTTACAGATGAGGAGCTGAGGCAAAAAGGGTTAAGTGACTTCCCCAGGCTCACACAGCTAGTAAGTGTCCGAAGCCAGATTTGAATTCGGGGAGATTCTAGGCCCAGCACTCTTTCTACTGCGCCATACTTTTCATGTTTGGTACTTGCTTGTTTATTTATTGTCTCCCCCACCCAGGACAGGGCAGAGACTGTTTTTGCTGTCTCCCCCACCAGGAGACGGCAGAGACTGTTTTTTCGCCTTTGTGTATCCTCAGCATTTATTTAGCACAGTACCTAGCACAGAGTAAATGCTTATTGGTTATTGATCAATGTGACCTCTCTAGATTGCTAATGCATTCTTAGGCCACATTGATTTAAAGTATGATGTCTAGAATAAGGAGGCAATACAACTTTACTTAGTGCTGATTGGAGAGCATTAAGCACTTAGAGCACTCCAGTAACTGACATTTACATAGTTGCTCACAGGTTCACAAATTGCTTTGCTGTATTATCTCATTTGTGAGATAGGTACAGTAGTTACCCTCCCTGTTTTACTAGAGGGAACCTCTGCCCTAAGAGAGGGTAAGAACTTTAATATGTCCATGGTTACTGAGCCAATAAGTATTGGAATCCTGCTTGGAGGGGGGGAGCTGAAATAGTGAGTTTCCCATCTCTTGAAATAAA